ATTGAAGAGAGTTTGATAATCATATGTCTTGGTGAAGATCGCTTTTGATCAAGCCTGTTAGGAGTTCTGTGTCCCTCCTGTATCTTGTTTCCCAATTTTTTCTCCAGATTAGGGAAATTTTCCTTTATTATTTCATTAAATACATTTGCAAACCCAGTTTCTCTTTCTGCACGTTCTGGGACTCCAATAACTTTTATATTTGGTCTCTTAATAGTGTCTTTCAATTCTTGAATACTTTTTTTGGCCTGATCCAGCTCTGCTTCCAGCTTTTTGTTTGCTTCCCCCTGGTGACAGGAGATATCTGCCAATTCTGAGATTTTTTCTTCTGCTTGCTTCATTCTATTTTGGAGACTCTCCACTGTACTTGTAATTTGCTCTACTGTGTTCTTAATTTCTGATATACCAGCCTTGATTTGCTTTACTGCTTCCTTAAATTCTTTGAACTCTTGCATGAGCTTCTCATTTTTGACCAGAATCTTCAAAATGAGTCTTATGGATTCTGTGTCCCCCATTTTCTCGATGTCTTCCTCAGTTAACTCTGAGGTTGGCATAGGGTTTTGCTCCTTTGCAGGGGAATGCTCAGTAATATTCATTGTGCCTTTATCTCTTCTTTTGCTCTTGATCATTGTACTTTTGGTTAGCAGAGTCTTCTCCTTGGGGGCAGGTTTCTAAGCTGTGTCACCCACAGGTCTACAATGCGATTTTACTTATTGCAGTTGGCACACAACTTTTTGCTTGCTGCCACTTGTGCCACAACCTCTAGCAAGTTCCAGATCTGGGTTCTTATGTCAGATATCCACCGTGGTCTCCACAGCCCCAGCTCTTGGCTCACCACATTCCACCCCCTGTGATACAGTGCTGAGGCTGCACTGTTGTCTCTGCAACCTTTCTCCCACTCCCGGTTGGAATGGGTTAGAGGATTAGAGAGACACCAGGTGTCCTATCTAGTTAGGTTGTTGGTGGCGCTGATCTTGGCGGAACCTTTTGGACATTAGGTCTGGGTGCCACACGGATCTATTTTGACCGGTACAATGTCACAGTCGTTATTATTTACATGTGAGACCTCAGCAAGCTCTCGCGAGCTCAGCACATGCGCAGTTCTCTCTTGTCTCCTTCAGTCCCAAAGCTATTGCCACAGTGCACAAAATGGCGCCCAACGTGCTACCACAACAGTTCTTGATCTGCTGGCTGTCAAATCCGAGGGCTACCCAGACATGCCCCGGATGGAACCTGTAGAATGCCACGTCGTTGCAGTTCGCCAAATCAGAAATGAGCACGCTCCCTGCTCAGAGCATGCTCAGTCCTTTCCCTTGCCCTTTTCTCCTTACGCAAAATGGTGCCCAATTCAGCTCTAGGGGGCTGACTGGGCTATGAAATTCACTCTGTTCTCACACTGCCTGAGATTTGCTGCTCTGTCTCTGCTCCTGGTCAAATCAAATGGACCAGCAGGATGGACAGTACTTTGTCTGGGTTCACCTCCCAATCTCCCAGTGAAAGTCCCTTCCCACCTGGTTGCTGGTGGAGTTCTGGCTGCTGTTGGAGTTCAGATCGCCGTGCTGGAGTATCGTTCACTGCAACACCACACTGCTGTGCCGGCTGCTTTCCTGTGTCTGTCAGTCTCCAGGTACCCCTCTGCTGTTGTTCTGTCCTTTCCTATTTCCTGAAATATGTCCTCTCTGCTTCATCCTGATTAAATGTTTCTCCGTCTGATTAAACATGTCCTTACCCTATTCTGCCATCTTGATTCTCCTGAGTCCAGCATTTTGATTGGGGAAATCTCCAAAGAAACTTTGAGGTGTTCTCGGAGGAGACCCTTGTATGTACTAGCAGGTATGGGCCCGGCATAGTACAACTCCCTGATCAGCTGGTGGTTGCGATCGCTGGGTTGGTTTTATTTTCAGCCCCGACTTCCACTGGAACCAATGGGTGTTGCAGTCCAGCCTGGTGCTGCCCAGCACATTCTCGGGCCTCGCATAACCAAGTGGGAGCTGCAGCTTACTTGGAGCAACCCACAATAACCCCACCAGGCCTGCCCTCTACCCTGGTTTGCCAGTATGTGTAGCAGTATTCCAGTCTGACCCACACCCCATTTCACCCCAGCCCCTGTCCTGGTTTTCATGCCCTCCTGTAGAAGTGGTAACCCAAGAGGGATGAGCCCATTATTTCCCTCCCAGGCCTCTCACTCTCCCGGATTATGCACTCTCCAGATAGTTCTGTGATTTGACTTGACAGAACTAGCCCCCAGTGCCAGCTTCTTCCAGCTGAAGCAGCATTCAGTGGTAAAGGCTAACACATGGTGGGTTATGCTGAGTTGGGTCAGAGCAACCACTGGCATGTGCAAGATCTACGGCTGGGAACAGACCTGGTTGGGTCTGTTCTAAGAGGATGCCCCGGCTGGAGTGAGTGTGAGAGCCAGATTAGGGATGGTGATCTGGGTTGGATATGACTGAAGTATCTTTCAGCATAGGTATGGACTGGGCTTTGGGGTGTGTCAGACTAGGCTAGACTCCAGCATCTGCTGGTGCTTGTGAGTCAGGGTGAGTGTAGGACAGGCTGAGCTAAGTGTCAGCACCCGCTCAACTACATGAGAGTTGAGTCTGGGGGTGTAGACCAGGTGTGGCTGGATTGCAGTACCCAACAGTAAGAACTGTAACAGGTGTGGGCTGGTCAGGCAAGGCCACTATTCCTGCCAGGACAGGAAGTGGGCAAAGTCAACCTGGGCCAAGGACTCACCAGTGTGTGTAAGATCTGCCACTGGAAGGAGACCTAATAGAGGAGCTTGGAGAACTCAGCCAGGAAACAGTCCCTGCAGGTAAACACAAGAACCAAGGTTTGGAGCAGTCCAGACCAGACCAGATTACAGCACCTGCCAGCATATATGTGGGTCAGATCTGGGGACAAGCCAGGCTGGACCAGTTCATAGCACCCACTGGCAGATGTAAGAACCAAGGATGGGGCACAGGCCAGGCCAGGTTGGGCCAGAACACCAGCCAGTTCACAATAGTGCTGGGACTGTGGGCTGGCTGAGGTTGGGCTGGGTGACAGCACTCACTAGCATGAGCTGTAACTGAGGGCAGACATGGCTTGACCAGGTATAAATAGCTGCAGGCGAATGCCAAGGTGAGGCAAGACTTGCCAGACTTGGGGTGGGTAGAGGGTGAGCCCACTAGAGGGCAGCGAAGAGTCCCCTGCTGGGCCACTGCTCCTGCTGGTGACCATGAGTACTGGGACCAGGAGCTGACCAGGCCAGGCAGGGCTACAACATCCATTGGTCTACATGTGAACAGGTTTCGGGGGCTTGGAGGGGGTGCCAGGCTGGGCTAAGTGACTCTATCCATTGCATGAATGAGCCAGAGTAAGTGCAGGCTGCTTGGGCTTTGCCACAGCATCAGCTGGCAAAGGCTAGGACTGGGGACAAGTCCTATCAAGCTACACTGCAGAACTACCTGGAGAGTGCAAGATCTGGTCCTGGGATCAGGTCTTGGAGGGAAACTGTGGGCACCTCTCTGATGGGCTGCCGCTCCCACTGCATAATCAGTTTGATTTTACTGTGCTTTCAAAGTTGCCTGTAGCCTTACTGAATAATTTGATTTTAGACTTCATCAACTTCTAGTTTAGAAGTATAGGTGTCTGAACAAACTTCAGAAGCATGTATTTATCTGTAGTTCTGATTTTGAGAGAAAAATATGACATGATTGGAATACATTTTTTTCTTTGAAGATTCATTTTGTTTGAAAACCGAGAGAGATCCAGAGACATCCATCTTCCATCTGCTAGTTCACTCCCCCAATACCCACGTTAGATAAGACTGAGGACAAAGCCAGGTCAGTCACTCCATTCTGATCTCCCATATGGGTGACTGTGGTTCAGCGATTGCTTGGTCCATGTTCCACTGGTCCCAGACACATTATCAGGTAATTGGATTGACGGCCAAGTGTTTGGGAGTTGAGCTGATGCTCTGATGTGGGATGCTGGTGTCAGGTGCTGGCCTAACCCACTGCCACATGTCACCAGCCCTTGGAAAGGCTTTCTAATCCCAGCATTGCCTATTGGCAATTTATGGTGGCCAAATACTGTTCTGACCCCAAGCACTCTCCACAATACATCTTCTGAAAGATGGAGTAGCTCCAAAGCTCTTCAGGCATCTACCTGCAGCTGTGTCCCATTCCACCTGCCCATCCATCCACCTCTGTCTGGTCCCTGCAGTAACACAAGGCCTGTTCCTGGGCTGACTCTGCTGCAGTGCGCATTCTCCTGACTGGGGAAAGACCCACACACATTCTGTGCAGGGTTTCCTAGGAACATTTTGAGCTCAATTCTCACTTCCAGTAAGACCAGAGATGCCCTCAATCCAAAGAGAGATGGATGAAGGGGATGGAGAAGCAGCAAGAACTGCAAAGTGCACCTTGTCCAACAAAGCAGGTAAGCAGCAGGAGGTCCCAGTGGCAGACCCATCAGACTTCCTCTCTTCTTAACTCTTGTGTTTTAAGAGATGTGGGCCACTATTTGACGCTGTCCTTTTATTGTGACGTTCGGTCTTTGATGCCAGCTCCTGTGCCAGAGCTGCTAAAGGCATTGTAAATTTTTGAGTAATGAGAACATCTGACTCAGAGTTCCCACATCTCTTGTCATTTCCTGGATGATCAGAGCATCTTTGACTCTCAGGAGGTAATTCTTGTCGCTTCCTGCGTCCTCTTGAAATGAACTCCTGGGGAACCAACCACGCGGTTTAGAGGGTCAGAACTCTCTCCCCCAGGGAAGAGGAAAAGGGCTGAGCATTTGAGTTATTGTGGCTGAAAGCATGATGAATCATGCCTGCTTCATGTGGTCTCTCGATTCACAGGGCTCCTAATCTTCTCCAGATGGCCCATGTCCGCTTATGTCCACCAGGAGGCAGCAGAGCAAATCCTCATGAGGAGGCCTGTTTTTTTCTTTTCTCTTAGCCACACCCATGGGGACCTGAAGATCAAGAATTGTGCCCAGTCCTTTCGCTCCCCCTACAGGCGTGGTAGGGGCAGCCGGGCCGAGGGACCAGTGACAGAAAGCAGCGGAGCGGCATGCGGGATTGGACTGCGCACTCTGCTGGAGAATTTTCTGAGAGGAAACTTATTCCTCAGAAAGACATTTGAAGTAAGCTTCAGGATGGTGAAAAAAGAGCCCCCGAGTATCTCAAAGGACTTTGAAGAGTTACAGAGGAAGTTGTTTTTGCTGGCGGAGTCCATCAAGAATAACTCAAAGGTGGTGTCCTTCATGAAGTCTCCAGTGGCTCAGTACTTGGACAGTCATCCTTTCCTGACACTCACCTTGCTAGTATTCATTGTTATGTCAGCCCTTCCTGTTGGGTTCTTCCTCTTCTTCGTGGTGTTGACCTTCTTAGCTGCTCTTGTGGGAGTCATATTACTGGAAGGACTGGTCATCTCCGTGGGTGGCCTCTCACTGCTCTGTGTCCTCTGTGGCTTGGGCTTCGTGTCGTTCATTGTGTCAGGGGCAGCCATAATGTCCTACGTGATGATTTCCAGCCTCATTGGGTTCTGGTTTTCTCCCAGGTAAATATATGTCAATGAAATACTTTATCATAATTTTCAAACTATTTATTTTATTTGTTTGTAAAATAGTGAAACGAACAGACAAGAGATCTCCTGTCCACCACTTTCTTCCCTAAATGTCCAACCAGAGCTGGCCCAGGCTCAAGTTGGGAGCCAGAAACAAGCTAGGTATCCTACGTGATTAGCAGGGACCCAAGAACTTGGTGTTACTTGCTGCCTTCTTGGGCATATGTAAGTAAGAAGCTGGAGTCCAGAGCAGAGCCAGGATTTGAACCAAGGCACTCTGATAAAAGAGATGCAGGCATTTTAAGTAACATCTTTGCCATTATGCCAAATGCCTACCCCATGGGGGAGTTTTCACAAATAATCCCCTAAGCCTCCCACTCCCTTCAATGTCTTGAAGCAAAATTGTAAGTGGCAGATATTTCTGATAGTTCTTCATAATGTCAGACATTAAATGGGACTTTACATGGACTATCAAGCAAACTATTGCTGTCATCATCTATCACACATACACAACTCATTTCATAGCCATAGCAATTCCATGAAGTTGTTATTATTGATTCCTTCAGAAAGATGGCCATTTAACTTCCAAAAGTCAACTTAACATGTTTTTACTATGGTTACTATAGAGAAAAATGTGAAGGTTCCTTAAGAAATTAAAAACAGGAGCCGTTCCTTCCGGCGCGAACCATGCCGGATTCCCAGCCACAGCCTCCGCCGCTTGCGGCGGAGGCAGGGACGCCGGCATCCCCCTAGCCAGGGGGCAACTAAGCCCCCTCGCGAGTAAGTACCCGCGAGGGCTGGCGAGGGAGCTGGGGTTCAAAACCTGGCTCCCCTCTACCCCCGTCAGCTTTGGGCTGACGGCAGGGTAGGCTGGGCGGTTCGAATGTCCGGGCAGGGGCGGGGTTAAACTCCCATTGGGGGTGGCGCCCCATGGGAGCCGTTCCTTCCGGCGCGAACCATGCCGGATTCCCAGCCACAGCCTCCGCCGCTTGCGGCGGAGGCAGGGACGCCGGCATCCCCCTAGCCAGGGGGCAACTAAGCCCCCTCGCGAGTAAGTACCCGCGAGGGCTGGCGAGGGAGCTGGGGTTCAAAACCTGGCTCCCCTCTACCCCCGTCAGCTTTGGGCTGACGGCAGGGTAGGCTGGGCGGTTCGAATGTCCGGGCAGGGGCGGGGTTAAACTCCCATTGGGGGTGGCGCCCCATGGGAGCCGTTCCTTCCGGCGCGAACCATGCCGGATTCCCAGCCACAGCCTCCGCCGCTTGCGGCGGAGGCAGGGACGCCGGCATCCCCCTAGCCAGGGGGCAACTAAGCCCCCTCGCGAGTAAGTACCCGCGAGGGCTGGCGAGGGAGCTGGGGTTCAAAACCTGGCTCCCCTCTACCCCCGTCAGCTTTGGGCTGACGGCAGGGTAGGCTGGGCGGTTCGAATGTCCGGGCAGGGGCGGGGTTAAACTCCCATTGGGGGTGGCGCCCCATGGGAGCCGTTCCTTCCGGCGCGAACCATGCCGGATTCCCAGCCACAGCCTCCGCCGCTTGCGGCGGAGGCAGGGACGCCGGCATCCCCCTAGCCAGGGGGCAACTAAGCCCCCTCGCGAGTAAGTACCCGCGAGGGCTGGCGAGGGAGCTGGGGTTCAAAACCTGGCTCCCCTCTACCCCCGTCAGCTTTGGGCTGACGGCAGGGTAGGCTGGGCGGTTCGAATGTCCGGGCAGGGGCGGGGTTAAACTCCCATTGGGGGTGGCGCCCCATGGGAGCCGTTCCTTCCGGCGCGAACCATGCCGGATTCCCAGCCACAGCCTCCGCCGCTTGCGGCGGAGGCAGGGACGCCGGCATCCCCCTAGCCAGGGGGCAACTAAGCCCCCTCGCGAGTAAGTACCCGCGAGGGCTGGCGAGGGAGCTGGGGTTCAAAACCTGGCTCCCCTCTACCCCCGTCAGCTTTGGGCTGACGGCAGGGTAGGCTGGGCGGTTCGAATGTCCGGGCAGGGGCGGGGTTAAACTCCCATTGGGGGTGGCGCCCCATGGGAGCCGTTCCTTCCGGCGCGAACCATGCCGGATTCCCAGCCACAGCCTCCGCCGCTTGCGGCGGAGGCAGGGACGCCGGCATCCCCCTAGCCAGGGGGCAACTAAGCCCCCTCGCGAGTAAGTACCCGCGAGGGCTGGCGAGGGAGCTGGGGTTCAAAACCTGGCTCCCCTCTACCCCCGTCAGCTTTGGGCTGACGGCAGGGTAGGCTGGGCGGTTCGAATGTCCGGGCAGGGGCGGGGTTAAACTCCCATTGGGGGTGGCGCCCCATGGGAGCCGTTCCTTCCGGCGCGAACCATGCCGGATTCCCAGCCACAGCCTCCGCCGCTTGCGGCGGAGGCAGGGACGCCGGCATCCCCCTAGCCAGGGGGCAACTAAGCCCCCTCGCGAGTAAGTACCCGCGAGGGCTGGCGAGGGAGCTGGGGTTCAAAACCTGGCTCCCCTCTACCCCCGTCAGCTTTGGGCTGACGGCAGGGTAGGCTGGGCGGTTCGAATGTCCGGGCAGGGGCGGGGTTAAACTCCCATTGGGGGTGGCGCCCCATGGGAGCCGTTCCTTCCGGCGCGAACCATGCCGGATTCCCAGCCACAGCCTCCGCCGCTTGCGGCGGAGGCAGGGACGCCGGCATCCCCCTAGCCAGGGGGCAACTAAGCCCCCTCGCGAGTAAGTACCCGCGAGGGCTGGCGAGGGAGCTGGGGTTCAAAACCTGGCTCCCCTCTACCCCCGTCAGCTTTGGGCTGACGGCAGGGTAGGCTGGGCGGTTCGAATGTCCGGGCAGGGGCGGGGTTAAACTCCCATTGGGGGTGGCGCCCCATGGGAGCCGTTCCTTCCGGCGCGAACCATGCCGGATTCCCAGCCACAGCCTCCGCCGCTTGCGGCGGAGGCAGGGACGCCGGCATCCCCCTAGCCAGGGGGCAACTAAGCCCCCTCGCGAGTAAGTACCCGCGAGGGCTGGCGAGGGAGCTGGGGTTCAAAACCTGGCTCCCCTCTACCCCCGTCAGCTTTGGGCTGACGGCAGGGTAGGCTGGGCGGTTCGAATGTCCGGGCAGGGGCGGGGTTAAACTCCCATTGGGGGTGGCGCCCCATGGGAGCCGTTCCTTCCGGCGCGAACCATGCCGGATTCCCAGCCACAGCCTCCGCCGCTTGCGGCGGAGGCAGGGACGCCGGCATCCCCCTAGCCAGGGGGCAACTAAGCCCCCTCGCGAGTAAGTACCCGCGAGGGCTGGCGAGGGAGCTGGGGTTCAAAACCTGGCTCCCCTCTACCCCCGTCAGCTTTGGGCTGACGGCAGGGTAGGCTGGGCGGTTCGAATGTCCGGGCAGGGGCGGGGTTAAACTCCCATTGGGGGTGGCGCCCCATGGGAGCCGTTCCTTCCGGCGCGAACCATGCCGGATTCCCAGCCACAGCCTCCGCCGCTTGCGGCGGAGGCAGGGACGCCGGCATCCCCCTAGCCAGGGGGCAACTAAGCCCCCTCGCGAGTAAGTACCCGCGAGGGCTGGCGAGGGAGCTGGGGTTCAAAACCTGGCTCCCCTCTACCCCCGTCAGCTTTGGGCTGACGGCAGGGTAGGCTGGGCGGTTCGAATGTCCGGGCAGGGGCGGGGTTAAACTCCCATTGGGGGTGGCGCCCCATGGGAGCCGTTCCTTCCGGCGCGAACCATGCCGGATTCCCAGCCACAGCCTCCGCCGCTTGCGGCGGAGGCAGGGACGCCGGCATCCCCCTAGCCAGGGGGCAACTAAGCCCCCTCGCGAGTAAGTACCCGCGAGGGCTGGCGAGGGAGCTGGGGTTCAAAACCTGGCTCCCCTCTACCCCCGTCAGCTTTGGGCTGACGGCAGGGTAGGCTGGGCGGTTCGAATGTCCGGGCAGGGGCGGGGTTAAACTCCCATTGGGGGTGGCGCCCCATGGGAGCCGTTCCTTCCGGCGCGAACCATGCCGGATTCCCAGCCACAGCCTCCGCCGCTTGCGGCGGAGGCAGGGACGCCGGCATCCCCCTAGCCAGGGGGCAACTAAGCCCCCTCGCGAGTAAGTACCCGCGAGGGCTGGCGAGGGAGCTGGGGTTCAAAACCTGGCTCCCCTCTACCCCCGTCAGCTTTGGGCTGACGGCAGGGTAGGCTGGGCGGTTCGAATGTCCGGGCAGGGGCGGGGTTAAACTCCCATTGGGGGTGGCGCCCCATGGGAGCCGTTCCTTCCGGCGCGAACCATGCCGGATTCCCAGCCACAGCCTCCGCCGCTTGCGGCGGAGGCAGGGACGCCGGCATCCCCCTAGCCAGGGGGCAACTAAGCCCCCTCGCGAGTAAGTACCCGCGAGGGCTGGCGAGGGAGCTGGGGTTCAAAACCTGGCTCCCCTCTACCCCCGTCAGCTTTGGGCTGACGGCAGGGTAGGCTGGGCGGTTCGAATGTCCGGGCAGGGGCGGGGTTAAACTCCCATTGGGGGTGGCGCCCCATGGGAGCCGTTCCTTCCGGCGCGAACCATGCCGGATTCCCAGCCACAGCCTCCGCCGCTTGCGGCGGAGGCAGGGACGCCGGCATCCCCCTAGCCAGGGGGCAACTAAGCCCCCTCGCGAGTAAGTACCCGCGAGGGCTGGCGAGGGAGCTGGGGTTCAAAACCTGGCTCCCCTCTACCCCCGTCAGCTTTGGGCTGACGGCAGGGTAGGCTGGGCGGTTCGAATGTCCGGGCAGGGGCGGGGTTAAACTCCCATTGGGGGTGGCGCCCCATGGGAGCCGTTCCTTCCGGCGCGAACCATGCCGGATTCCCAGCCACAGCCTCCGCCGCTTGCGGCGGAGGCAGGGACGCCGGCATCCCCCTAGCCAGGGGGCAACTAAGCCCCCTCGCGAGTAAGTACCCGCGAGGGCTGGCGAGGGAGCTGGGGTTCAAAACCTGGCTCCCCTCTACCCCCGTCAGCTTTGGGCTGACGGCAGGGTAGGCTGGGCGGTTCGAATGTCCGGGCAGGGGCGGGGTTAAACTCCCATTGGGGGTGGCGCCCCATGGGAGCCGTTCCTTCCGGCGCGAACCATGCCGGATTCCCAGCCACAGCCTCCGCCGCTTGCGGCGGAGGCAGGGACGCCGGCATCCCCCTAGCCAGGGGGCAACTAAGCCCCCTCGCGAGTAAGTACCCGCGAGGGCTGGCGAGGGAGCTGGGGTTCAAAACCTGGCTCCCCTCTACCCCCGTCAGCTTTGGGCTGACGGCAGGGTAGGCTGGGCGGTTCGAATGTCCGGGCAGGGGCGGGGTTAAACTCCCATTGGGGGTGGCGCCCCATGGGAGCCGTTCCTTCCGGCGCG